CAGGCCAGTATATGATAGCTCGAGTTTTTTGGTTACAAATTATGACACCAGCAGATTTGCATTGTTGGAACACTTTGCTTTTACTCTGGCTTGGTGAATCCCAATTGACAACACTAAGCAACCAATTTTTACCGTAAAATGAAGTGGTGCAAGTTTGTTCACCTTCTATAACATCTGACGGGAGTTTAAGAACAATGCATTTTCTAGATGGTGCAGATGACAAGTAACTCCATATGAAGAGCCTATTTCCACAAATGATCCAAGAAAGGCAGGTTTTCTTATCCATTCCGCCAGATATGCATGCATGACCTGTTAAAGGATATACAAAAATCTAAAAACAGTCTCTCGTAGTGGAATTATAGCATCTATTGCCAATCATACTAACCAGGAAGATACTTTCTAAGGAAACTGGATTGTTCATCACGAACTGATTGTGGAAACTCTGAAACAAATACCGGCTTAACAGGATCTATTTCATTTCCTTTCTCATTTTTGTTGACTGGTGGAATCCTAGGTACAAAACAAGAAAAATTTTAGCCACTGCACTAGTAAGCATAACTTGCTGATTTGACTTGTATTTGTGCTAAAGAGGTAGAGACAGAGAGTAAGCCCCTCTCGTCGATTCGCTTGGTCCAAGAGTTATATAAAAGCATAGGAAGACAAACAAGGGAAAGTGATAAAAGTATAAAGCATGCTTAAGTTATCATATTGTGATAGGGTAGAAAGATCAAACAATTAAAGTGCAGGAATATAGAAAAAGAAATTGCAGATTAAGTCCATGAGCCACAGTTAAATGGGGAAACAAATTCCTAACTAGGGGATTAATGATACCAGATTTATAATGAGATAGCTTCCCATCATTGTCTATTCACTCCTGCCCTTTTTTCAAAAATCAGCCTCCTTTATTGAGGATTAGTAATTGTCCATATTTCCTTCACTATTATGCAATAGTTGACACAAATAAAAACCCTAATCATATGGATATATGGGGCTTAGTAGCATATACATTTCCAAATTTTGCAAGAGATTTCCAAGAATGTAAAATTGATGTTCTGACAAATGGACATAGCCTCAACTGTTATTATTAGCATTTCCAGCTCATTCAACAGGAACGAGAATAAGTGAAAATATATATATATATATATATAAACAGCATGAAAGAAAAGGAAGACCATCCATCTATCGTCCATGCATTCATTTAATTGTCTCTTAAAAATTTGCTCATTTCATCTAATACTGTATCCTATACATTGCAAGAGCAAACAAGCGAGTAAATCACTTCATTTTAACAGAGCATAAATCATAAAAGAGGGACCAAAGTAAAAAGAATCTGCAAACAGTTCCACAAAATGTAATTCCAATATCCCGAACAAATTTACACAACATCAAGACCTCAGCCATTAAGTTTTTAGTAACAAAGAGAACGCTCTAGACGATAAATCTTGCTGGCAAAAAGAAAACTGAGAAAACATGTAACCCCATTTGCATAACAAAGTCCTGACATCTTACACTCATCCAAAGCAAGCAACGGAAGTTATGCCGTTTCATAACAAACTAAGCTAGTTTGTTAATATATAACCGAAATTCGAAGTCCAAACACCTAAACGGTCACAATTCTCACTCACGAGAAGGCTCACTCGATTTGCATATAAAGATTAGAATAAAGATGTAGTTTGGAGCGGGTACTTACGTATAAGCACGGTGTAAGTTTCGTACCTGGCGAGGACGGATAAACGAGGAGCCCAGGGAGCGGGAGTACCGGTGCTCGGGCGATCAGGGATGGAATTGTCATTAGCTGGTTTTCGAGACTCTGGTACTGGAGTAATGGGAGAATCGAGCGCATTTAGAGAGTGCCCCAGGCTTCGCTCTTTGCGGGAGCTCAGATTGGACCTCTTCGTCCCCGGAGAAAACATTTTTGCCTTTCTTTCTTCTGAGAGAGGTTTAGGGTTTAAATTTTGAACTGAAATGAGCTAGCCAGACGACGAAGGCAATAGAAATTTGAATTTTGCGAGATAGCAAGGGAGGCACTTTTTAGTTTGATTTTCATTTCATGTCATGTGAGTCGTTCGAAGGTATTCAATCTGAACCGTTAATCTTCCTCAATCAGACTATTAGCCTTTTCTGCTAGCAAATCATTAATTTATAAATTTAGACTTAATTTGACTATTAAATTTATATAAAATTTCATATGCAAGGAAATAATGGATTATAGAATTTTAACAATAATGAATTGATCTTATACAATTTGAGTTATTTTATTTTTTAATTTTGTTAAATTTGATCGCTTTTTAAAATTCAGTAATAAAAATTGAGTCAAGTTCAACTCACCCTCAGTTTCCTAAATTTATGTGCCTAGTAGAATGGAGGAATAAACAACAACATGTATATGCGTAATAGGGCGTCAAATCAATTTACAATTTCCCATTTGACACTGCATTCGGTTTAGAGACTCAGACAACCGCCAAAATCCACTTCCACGTGCGCTTTGCCATCTGTCCCCACTGAAAATGGAAACCCTTCGCAATACATTGCAAATGATTTATCGCTCCAGAAGCTACCAGACAGACACATGCTAACTCATTGAATAATAGATTTAATTTAATCAAATGAATATCCACATTTCTCTTCTCTCTCTCGCCGTATATATAAAAATATATATACATATATATCCGTTATAACCTCAAAAAGATATTTCTCTTGAATTTGACTACTGTCTAACTATATATAATAGAAGCCCAACGCCAACTGTATGTAAACAATAACTAAATACATGAATCTTCATCCAGTGCCTGCAATTGAAAAAAATAACCAATAAAAATATTACTCAGACCAGGCACATGTATACCAGCATGGCAACTGGGCGTGTTTGGAGGGTTCATTCTTTTTTATAAATGATAATAGTTTGTCATGTTTCCCAGCAATGGAAACTAAATTCTAAAGAAATGTATGGATAGGACATTACTAAATCACTCCACATTCCCAGCAAGAACGGTGATACTAACTCAATCCTAACCTGAATCATTGCCAGTATGAGATCCTTCATTATTTGGCTTCCAAATCTGTCACCGGAATCCTAAAAGTTTGCCACTTTCACTACATCAATTTTGAAATTGTTGTAGACAGTAAGAACATATAGACCATGGGCTTCAGAAAATCATATATCATAAAAACACGGCATAGGAGACACAGCTAAACACGCAAAAAAATTTCGAACCCATAATTTTTCTTGATATAGTAAACTGTGTTTTCCACATAGAACATATGATAAAACTATGGGAAAAAAAAAACAGAAATAAACATATAAAAAGGGGTTGTATACATATGAGAGTTCTCCAGTGAAGAACCATAGGCAACACTTCGCCAGCCTTAAGACAAAAAAGTTTTGAGTTCCTTCCTAATTGTGATTCCCTAAACAGAGCAAACAAGATATACGTACATACAAGCAGATTTTGCATTATGGTTCCAGCTTCAAGGACACAACACGAGATTGCCTATTACGCTTTGCCACCTTCACAAAGACTACTGAGAGGCAAGATGGAGCCCACCAAGGCCGGCGAACTTTTTGCTCGCCCTTTAAACAAGCCACTGAAGATCAAAATTAAAAACTCAATGTCAGTTGACCTTAATTCGGACAGATAAATTGGACTTCAAAGATGTTAACCTAGCTAAAGCACACTTCTATCTGTCCAAATTATTTTTTTGCGCTCACTTTATTCAGCTAGAAATACAATCTAGAGTGTTTAGTTGCTCAGTTTATTCAGCTAGGTGAACAAATTGAGACACCTCTTTTAAGACATGCAACACTGATAGGGAACCAGAATATGGGATAAATGATCACCAATAAGATTCTGTTTTATCTGCAAAAAGCCCAAATCATCTCCCTCCAATTTTCTTTCTCCCCCCTCATGAAGGTTGGATGATCATAAATAGACTTTTTTTGGCTAAAAAATCTTTTTTTTTTTTTTTTTTTGAGATAGAGAGATTGGTCAAGGAA